ACCCTCGACTGTTTCCCAGTAGGTTTTTGGCATATGGCCGAAACACAGGCGTCTCGATATCAGCAACATGCGTTCCAGGGGTATCTCAACAGTTTGTCGTGGAGATCCAACCGGCACTTGCGTTCTTGTCTTGGTGCCCCCGCGCCACTTCGTGCGGGCTCTTCTGTTGCTGGTTCGTGGACTGGCGTTTTGTGCTTTGGTGACTGTCCTTTGCGGCATGTTCCTTGCGTTTGGCCGTCGGATGAGTTTAGCAGCGGTCGTGCCCTGGTCACTGTTGGACAGATTGGTGGACTTCAGATTACAACTGCCACAATTTATTGCCCAGCCAAAGGTCCGACATTTCCAAATGCGAGAGCCCTTGCTGAACGTTTGTTGACACCAATCACTGAAAACTTGGTTTTTGGTCGGATGGGCCCAAGAGCGATTCTTGGAGATTTCAATGCCCCTGCCGGCAGCCTCCAGCAAATGCAGATCTGGCAATCACAAGGCTGGGTCGAACTGCAAGAGCTTATGAATCGGCACTATGGAATCGCCCCACAAGCCACATGTAAAGGGGCCACAGCCCCCGATCAAATTTGGGTATCGCCGGAACTTGCCATGCTGATCACAAATTCTGCAGTGTGGCAGATATATCCCGACCATGCCATGTTGATAGCTGGGCTCAATGTTCCCTCTATGAGCCTTTTCCAGCCGCAATGGCATCTTCCTGGTCTGCCATGGAATTTTGTGGATCAAGATAAATGGGGAACCGAGTCTGACATTGGGCCTATCATCGATTCAAGCATTCGGCCTGTGGGTGGTCAATGCTTGCCTTTGGACAGTCGATTGGATTTTGAGTCCATTAGCCAGACAGATTCCACTCATGCGTTCCGCTCTTGGAGTAGACAGTTTGAAGTTAAGGTGTCACAAGCCCTCAGCCCGGGGGTTCAGAGGGCTGATCGCAGCTACTTTGGACGAGGACAACTCACTAAACCTCGTCAAAGGCGAACTCAGGCTGCAGTTCCCAAACATAGTAGGCCAGGAGAGGTTGAGCAAACCTGTGGATTTTTGAATCGAGCCAGTGCTGCTTGGTACAAGCAACTTCGAAGACTTCAGTCATATCGACATGCAGCACAGTCACATAGGCAGCATGAGACTTTCCATTCTAGGGTGGCTTTGTGGAATTCTATTTTGCGTGCGCCTGGGTTCACTGATGGATTTGCTAACTGGTGGAAAAGGCGCCCACACCAACAACAAGGGTCTCCTCCAGCCCTCCCGACTTATCCTCCCAATGCCCAAGTCATCCAGTGGATTTTTGATGACTTCCATCATAACTACCGCTGCTTTGAGCATTACCAGTGGAGGCGCAGACAAGACAGTTGCCAGGCCAAATTGCTTTCCACAACCAAAGGCCCCTTTGCCGTGACACGGAAAGAAGCGCGCTATGCCTTGGATTGCCTTGAAGACTCCATGTCTCAAACCATCACAGTTTTGGATGCTTGTGCAGGCCTTGTGACTGTCCCCAAGCCTTTCCCTAGCCAGAACGTCATTGGATGGCAGTTGCAATCTCAACCGGCCTTGGTTCGAGCCATGGAGGAGGGATACGTCGTTGAAAGCGATTTTGTGCTCGTTGATGGTCAAACCCTGAGCTGCACCACATTGGTACATGAACCTGCAGAAATCCAAGACAGACTTGTACAGTTGTGGACTCCTAGATGGAATAAACATGCAACGGTCTCGTCCAGCCAATGGGATCAGATCAAGCGTTTTGCTGAAGACTGCCTACCAAGAGGTCATTTCTCTCTTCCCCGCGTGAGCATTGCCGATTGGCGAAGGGCAGTTCAATCCTTCAAAGCCACAGCCGCGACAGGCCCTTGTGGCTGGTCGAGAGCAGACCTGCTCCATATGCAGGATACGCATGTTCAGGCCATTTTGGACTTTTTTCATATGATGGAACAGGGAGCAGCATGGCCTAAACAGTGGACAGTTGGATTGATTCACAGTTTGCAGAAGCGCGAAGACAGCGCCAAAGCTGAAGACTTCAGACCAGTGACTGTCATGAGCATGTACTATCGAGTGTACACTGGAATTAGGGCAGGTCAAATCTTGGCGCAGCTGGCGCAATGGTCTGATTTCATGCAATGTGGATTTATGCGTAAGAGACAGGCCTCTGATGTGTGGTATTTTGTTGGCGTGTGCCTTGAAGTTTCATGTCAAACTGACACTCCAGTGCACGGGTTGGTTGCTGACCTTGTCAAAGCATACAACACTTTGCCGCGTGACCCTACCACCACCTTTCTTAGGATTTTGGGAGTGCCACCTTGGTTTCTTCGCATGTGGAATTCTCATCTGACTGAGTTTACCAGGTACTTCGTTGTCCGTCGCTCAACTAGTCCAGCGGTGACGTCATGCACCGGCTATCCTGAAGGCTGTCCTTTGGCTTGTGCAGCCATGACCGCGGTGGATGTGGTTTGGCACACTTGGCAACAGGTTCATACTCCACGAGTCCTCCCGCTCAGTTACGTGGATAACTTTGAGTTGATTTGTGATAGAATTGTGGACTTGGATCAAAGTGCTGCCCAGCTTGACCGTTTTTGTGCCTTGTTGGACTTGAGTGTTGATCGTTCCTGTCTGTACGCATGGTCCACGTCTTGTACCGGTCGTCGTGAACTTAAGGATAACGGGTATCATGTAAGTTTGGGTAATAGGGACCTGGGAGGGCAAATTACCTATTGCAAGCAACTCCGGAACCGAGTCTTGACAGACCGGATGTCAAAGGTACATCCTCTTTTTGCAAAGCTGCGGAAGGGGAATCTGCCACAAGGGGTCAAACGAGCGAACATCCAGCAAGTACTTTGGCCACGAGCGCTGCACGCATGTGCAGCTACAAAAGTTGGAAGCCATCACTTTGATGCCCTGCGTGCTGGAGTCATGAAAGCTTTGCACTGGAATCATGCGGGCGCATCGCCCATAGCGAGACTGTCATTGCTGGAGCACACCCTTGACCCTGAATGGTATCAACTGCAACAAGTTGTTCACATGTTTGTTCACCAATGCAAACTGAACCATGTTATCAGAGACTGGTGGCGAATTTTTTGCACCACGCCGCATGGGGAATCGCATGGGCCCTTTGGTAAGGTACAGGAACTTTTGGCACCGCTCGACCTGCATGTCGATGCCGTCTGCCGTCTTTGGTTTTCCGATAATGGATATATCAACCTTCTGGCCAGCAATGGTACAATTGTGGACAGGGTTCTTTTGAAGCATTATCAGCAGCGCAAGGCGAGCAAGTTGGCACAGCGAGCTGGTTTCGACGGACTGCAAGATGGCTGCGACGTAGGACTGACAAAGTCCAACGATGCAGCGTTTGGCCTCACGGACCAGGCCAGACTCCAAATAGCAAGGGATGGCTCCTTCATTGCTGACAACGTCAAGTCAAAGTTTGATTCCAGAATTACTCCAACATGCGTGTGGTGCAATGTTCCAGCCACACACCTGCACAAGATCACGGAATGTAGCAAGTACGACACAGTTAGAGCCAACCACTGTGAAGTTTTAAATGATTGGAGCAGCTTGCCACTTTGCTGGCGACAACACGGATTGGTGCCGAGCAATCCCTGGCAGACGCTTGTTTGGGAAATGCTCATTACCATTCCTTCCAACCTGAAAGATTTTCAATTTGCGCCTTCAGGCTCAATTGTTCACTGCTTCACGGATGGTACGGTTTCACAGCCCCATACACATGAGGACGCTCTTGCGGCATGGGCGGTGGTTGTAGCAGATGTTGGACCTCTTGCCAAAGGACCTTTGCCAGGCATCCAACAGTCAATCCCACGAGCTGAGGCATATGCCGTGCTGAGCGTGATGATTTGGCTTCAGAATTTTGAAGGTTCAGCACACATTTGGGTAGATAACCAGTGGGTGGTTGATACTGCGCGGGACATTCAGCGCGGAGTTTTTGACCCTTCTTCGGTTGAACACGAAGACATCTGGACTCAGATTGCTGCACTTTTTCAGAGTGCCGTTGCCGATATTACGCTGCACAAGGTGGCCAGCCATACTCAGGAGACATCATGCGAAACGCCCATAGAAGACTTTGCAAGAATCTGGAATGCTTGTGCCGACCGCCAGGCTCACGCAGCCAATGTATGTAGGCCAGCATACTTTCAAGCAGTTTGGAGCAAGTTTCAACATTTCAGACACACTTGGAAACGTCGAGTAGTCAAGATGACAGAGTTGCAGAAAGCCATAGCAGATGCTGACTGCACAGAACATGTAAGTAGCGATGTTGATGAAGACCACAGCGTTTTTGAATTCGTTTGGACTGAAAACCATGCACAACTTTCTGTACAATTGCAGCCATGGGTTGATAGTCCGGATTTGTTTATCGCGAAGCATGATCAACATTTTCGATCCGTAGCAGCACAGTTTTTAGCTTGGATCATTTCAGTTGACACGAGCGCGTCGCACATGAGAACTGTCAGCCTCATTGAACTGTATGTTGCGTTTAGGATGTCCAGGCGTGAGCGGCGTGCGATTAGCTCTAGTGGGGGTGGTGGTGTTTTGACTGTTGTGACCTTTGCTTCTGATTTTTCTTACTTTAAGAAGGTCTTTGGTTGGATTGTCAAGAAGGCTGACATTTCTTGGGGACATTCGGTTTCCCTTATTTTTCTATGTATAGTTCCCCCACAGCAGGGAATCACAATTGGGTGGCCGTCCGATTTGGAGACGACTACATTTGATGCATTGCGTCAGTTCATCGGGAATCGTCCTGTGACAAGTTCCCAAAGTTTAGCAAAGCCGTGGTCCCCATAGCGATGCATTAGGTCTCACGGCCATGTCAAAGAACAGTTTGGCCTGCGATTAGCTGGCCAACTGACCGTCCCAACCGTGTGCAATAGTGGGATGAACATCCATTTACCAGCTATTTTGATGTTCACCAGGGGTACAAGGTTTTGACACACTGCCATATATCTATACCCCGTTATATACCGCAGTTGTACCCTGCTCGCAACTCCCAGGCCTATGCCAAGGGCGAGTTTGACTTCGACATGCCCGAGGAGAACTTGGTCCGGGTCCCCGGCGGTCCCTGGGTGTGTTTGGCCGCAGAAGTCCTGGAAAGGTGGTGGTTTAACCAACAAAAATGGTGGTTTAATGTGGTTTATATATATATTTATTTAACTATATCCCATTGTGGGAGGTAAATATATCCCATTATGGGAGGTATGGCAAAAACCACTGGGACAAAGTGGGATGAATAGTAACCAACAAAGATAGGGATTTTACGGGGATATAAACATGCGTAAGATACTCATGAAATGGGAATGACTTGATATGATGGGTTTGTCCGAAAATGGGAGATACCTTTAAAAAGGTAGAACATTGGGAAAATCCCGATATTTGGGCGTAAGTACTGCATTAACCCATGTATGAATCTATATCTACATTTTTATCCGTGTCTCTACCTTGCACGGATCCCTGAGTGCCTAACCTTTGAGAACACTCCATTCTGGAGCTACATTTCCAGGTGCAGCTTGAGTACGAGTACTCAGTTTTCGATTTTCGCCCCATTCATTTTCCCCTTTGGGATAATGATCTCCAGTAGCCAACAGAGAATGCCAGCATGATAGGACTTGTGACAGAAGCCCCTTCCATTTACAGTTTTCTTCGCCTGGATAGCGAGAATAGATGGATTTTCTTGGATACAGCTTCCGTCCACAAACGATGACAACCAGCCTGTTGTCTATTATGGGGCCGGTATCAACCTATCCTTGCTGGTTGTTTGGGGTCACAAATTCAGACCCATGTCGGATTGACTCAAACTATTGACCCACCACAAACTCGGACCGTTTGACACTTTAAGTCTACGGTTCGAAATTCCTCACCCAAAGAATTGCATGGATTTAGTACTGTACTTCATATGACGAATTTACAAGTTCATGGTGACCCCACTTTATGCCCACCCATTTGGCCTAAGGATCGAATTATGCGACAAGTTTGTGGAGGCAAAGGCGCTCCCAGCTTGGATTTTGGAGGCCAAATGCAGAAAATGCCTTAAATTTGGAGCCCCCAAGCCCCGACAGAAACTGTTAGCCTCCAACAGCAAAAACCTTGCGATTCCCACAGGTGCCGCAGTCGATTCCATGCACATTGTGAAAATCTCCGTGGGGATTGCGAGGGACGAGGCAACAAAAGTTGTTGGACAGTGATATCATGATATGACCGTTGGTATTTTTACTGTTGTCAATGTGATTATCTGTACCTTAAAAACAAGATCATGATTCCTGATGTTTTTTCCCCGATCTATTGTGATTATTGTTCTTGAGTAGCACTGTTTTTTGTATATTATTCATCATATGATATGCCATTTTCTATAGTTTTTATCACTAATTATCCTCATGATTCTTATTCTTCTCATTGTCAGTATTGCTAGGATCATCGTGAACAGCCACAATAGTATACAATAGTGACGTATGGCTTGTCGGCACTATTCATCATTTCCTTCACCGCAAAGTCTTTATTTTTTTTTTCAGGGACCATTTTTTGGGTGGTGCAACATGTCCCTGAAATTGTCTAAGGGACACGTATTACAAGAAACCGGTCATGAATCTGATGGTTTTTTGAATGTAAAACTCCATTGGTTTCCGACTGTCAGTTTTCCCTGAAGTTGATCCATTGGACATGTGAGTAATGGATGTTTCGAGTTTCGAGTCCTATCAAAAAAAATGGCAATTTCCATTAGTGGACCCATACTTGGGAATGTCCAAACCTACATGACTTACAATGATTCCAAACCAAGAATCAGCCGTATGTCTTGTGGTAGTTCGGAGCCGGCCAAGGAGCCAAGGAGCAGTATCCATCTTCCCCAACGAAGAGTTTCCCGTTGCCACATGATAGTTTTTGTGACAATTATGGCCCTTTAGCCGTAGAAAGTTTAGTAAATATCTCCATTTTAAAGATTGCCTTACTAATTCTCTCCATACCAGTAGTACCGCACAAGGCGGTGGCGGAAGTTTCAAAATAGGAAACTATAGGAGAGGTTGGTTGTTGTGAATCACAGATGGCAGAGCGAATCCACTGATGGACCGAAAGGTGGTTGGAGTTGTGTTTTTTGGAGTGGTTGGAATGGTTACAGTGGTCACCTCACCACCACTGCTGGATGTAGTGTGGTGTAACGCAGTTGTAGTTGTAGTTGTAGTGTAGAGTTGTAGTTGTAGTGTAATTAGTGTAGTTGCAGTTGCAGTTGCGGTTGAATTAGTGTAGTGTACTGTGGTGTACTGTAGCGTGGTGTAGTGTAGGTTAAAGTAGTGTAGTTGTAGCGGTAGTGTAGTGTAGTGTAATTAGCGTAGTGTAGTGCAATGTAGTGGCAGTTGTAGTTGTCGTGTAATGTAATGTAATTAGTTTAGTGTAGTGTAGTGGCATGTAGTGTAGTTGTAATTGTAGATGCAGCTGTGGTGGTGGTGGTGGTGGTGGTGGTGGTAGTAGTAGTAGTAGTAGTAGTAGGAGTAGGAGTAGGAGTAGGAGTAGTCGTAGTGGTAGTGGTAGTGGTAGTGGTAGTGGTAGTGGTCGTGGTCGTGGTCGTGGTCGTGGTCGTGGTCGTGGTCGTGGTCGTGGTGTGGCGTCGTCGTCGTCGTCGTCTCTCTCTCTCTCTCTGTCTCTCTCTCTCTCTCTGTCTCTCTCTCTCTCTCTGTCTCTCTCTCTCTCTATGTCTCTCTCTCTCTCTCTGTGTCTCTCTCCCTCTCTCTCTGTCTCTCTCTCTCTCTGTATCTATCTGTCTATTTATCTATTTATCTATCTATCTATCTATCCATCCATCTATTTATCTATCTATCTATCTATCTGTCGATCTATCTATGTTGAAGTACACTTGCTTCTCTGGTTTCTCGCCGCTCATTCTTTCTTAGTTTTATTTCTTTTGCGGTTCCTGGATCGCCGTGGGTATGTGACAAGAGGGGAAAAAAGTGTTCGGAACCCGCGGGTTTTTTTTTGCATTTTTAGTTCGCAATGCGCTTCGCGCCACAGCCGTGTGCACAGTTTTTTTTTTTGCATTTTGACTTCCGAATGTGCTTCGCGCCACAGCTGCGTGCACTTTTTCGACACCTCAACGTCCAAAAGTGCTCCGACGCTGAGGTGCTTTTAGCCCTTTGACTTCGACATGCGCTTCGTGCCGCAGTGACGTGCAATTTTTGATCTCTCATCCGACCAGATGGCTCCGCACCCGCCGCTTTAGCGAGCCTACGGGGCCACAAAACATCCGAAAAACACAATGGGGGCACAAAACATCCGAAAAACACAATGTTTCGCGACTCTTCTACCTTGTCGCTCGCTTTGATCTTCTTTCTTCTTGCTCTCTCTTCTCTCACTCTTCCCACCTCTGCTGCTTCACCTTGTCAGAAGTTTGATTTCTAAACTTCCTTCGAGAATTAACTTCCCCATTTTTCAATGGCCTGGCGGCCATGGCCTCACCCATCATGGCTTGAAGGTGAAAGGCCTGGCCAAGCGAGAGATCCGCCTTGAAAGGGAGCGCGTCGAGTCGTGACTCCCAGATCTCCCAGTCTCTGCAGATGATGGTTGGGTAAACCTTGGGTACTTCAATGCTTTCAGTAATACTTCGCACTTTTGCTGCAGAAGGGGTGGGTATACGACATATATATATATATAGAATACAATATATATATATATTAATACATATATTGTTTATATTATATGATATGATATGATATTATATGATATGATATGATATTATATTACTTTATTTTATACTATATTATGGTATATTATATGATATTATATTAAATTATATTATTTTATATTGTATTGTATTATATTATATTATATTAAATTAAATTATATTATATTATATTATATTCTTACAATAAACAACTCTTATTCTTTTTTTGAGGGTATTTGGAGGGCAATGTATGGATATACTGGTTAGCAACCAATGCAGAACTGCGTTGTTTTCTTTTCTTGGGGACTGTTGTTGTTGTTGTTGTTGCTGTTGTTGTTGTTGTGTGGGGAATTCAACAATTTGTATATATATATATACACATCATACCTACATGCAGTTCTAAAGTAAAACAAACGGGGAATTTAAGTTTCAAGATAGGGTATTGAGATGGTGTTTTTACAGATGGGATTTCACCATCAACAACGGAAATGTTGGGACCCTGAATCAGTTTTGTTTCGCATTAGTTTATGGAACCCATACTGATGTGAACATGGTGACGAATTATCCAGCTTTCACATGTTTCCAATGAACTTTTACATTTACATAATCCCAATTTTGATATGAAAAGTCAACATTGTCCAATCAAAAATGGTTATTGTAGGCCAATTACCAACCAATTTTGCCAATGACGAACATTTTGTTGATTTCCCCTGTATATTTTTTGGTGGTTAAATCAAGTGAGATCCCCATTTTTAGATGGTCAAATATCCATGTTTCATAATTTACATCCCCAAGTATGGTTCAATCTTCATTTTTGGGGTTGAAATCCACATCTTTCATGGTGAAATCCCCATTTTTCATGGTGAAATCCTTCATTTTTCGAAGGCAAGAGGCCCGCGAACAGCGCGAAGCCGAGCTCCGTGAGCGACGGGCGGAGTTCTCGGCCGAGTGCAAGGTCCGGAGACCAGATCGAATCAACTTTGGGATTTCACCATAGTCATGTTTAGAACCATATGATTCAACCCCTTCTGAAGTAATTAAAGTAGTGTGGGATTTACACATATTTGGGACCCCTTTAGGCTGTGCTTAATACATCATATTATGGGGATGGGATTATTTGGTAGGCATCCACAAGTGTGGAGGATTTCGTCAAATTCATGGTTAAACTACGAATTGTCACTCCGAAAGATCGACATAGCTTCACCTGGATGGTGGGATGTCCAATGGCGGGTCACATCCAACAGTTTCCAAAAAAAACAACGCACAGACCTTTTCGGAAGTTTTTTTTCCCTAAAGCGAACGTGAACTTTTGGACACACCCATGAAAGTAATCTACAATCTGAACAAACTACAAAGCGTAAACACAAAGAGCCAAGAGATGTTGCTTTGCGAGCTGCGTGCAAGCGCGTATGGCTGTAGAGAACATTGTTGATAGTGTGGTCCATGATTTCCAGATTGAGGATTTAAGTCTTAAATCCGGATCCCATTTTTCAGGCTTAAATCTTATGAATTTCATTGAAATCCCTGTGTTTGATGGGTAAATCACAATTCTGGCACAGGATTCATTCCCATCTTTTCACGGTGAAATCCCGACGTTTGATGGTTAAATCCACCATTTGTTGCCGGTGAACTCCTGATGGTTTTTTCACGTCCGCGCCAGGACTTGACGGCGGAGCTCAAGAACTTGGATCCCGACGTCCAAGCCGCTGAGGGTCTCTCGGAGGTGTGGTTCGGTGGAAAAGTCGACGTCGGTCGACTCCTAATGTGGTTAAAACAATAGTAATAATGGGTAATTATAGTAGGTGAAGCAATGTCATAAACCACATTTTTGTTGACATATAATAATAAACCATCACCCAGTCATCACCATTTTTATAGGTGGTATGGTTACCATTCCCACATGGTCATTTTGGATGATCAAGTCGGATCTTGGAAGATTCGTCAGGCGCTGGTCCAGGACGCCAACTCCGAGATGAGGGAGGCAGGTTTTGGTCGCAGCAACAGTATGGGGGACCTCTGGGACTGGGATAATGATTAGTGGATCGAGAATCCCTCATTTTTAGACACAGGCAAAACAATTTTACAAATTCGATTCCATATCCACTGAATCATGTCCTCAACCAATATGTACAGTCTTTTTTTGTTTCTAAGCCAGTGGATTGCGTGGTTTCCCAAAGGAAGATACAACCCCAAGGTGGAAGTTTCTTTCGATTTTTGTTGGACCTTCTAAATTCCAGTAGTTTCAGATACCAGAGCTTCGAATCCCCTTCTTCCCGCCCCCCATTTGCTCAACTTAAGTGTACTTCTAACATCTTCTAACATTCTAACCAGCTCTACTAAAGAAACACATCTAGTTTGCATTAAACATGACTAAACCTTGGAGGATTTTAGGATCACATTTTTGCCCAGGCGGACGAGGCAAATTCTCGGCTGAAGGCCATTGATAGCATCGTTCAAAGCACGCCCGGAGTCCCGGTCCGAAAAGTTGGGTATTTTATCTGCTTGGTGGTTTGGAACATTTTTTATTTTCCCATCATATATGGGATAATCCTTTCCATTGACTAATATTTTTCAGAGGGGTTGAAACCACCAACCAGGAATACATACTGTATTTTTTATTTTCTCATCATATTGGGAATGTCATCAGTTATTTTTCCATATATTGGGAAGAATATAATCCCAACTGACGAAGTCACATTTTTCAGAGGGGTGGCTCAACCACCAACCAGTTGTGATGGGGATACGAAATGAAATCCAGAATCTTATAGGGGTATTTCATGGGATGCTTCGGTTTGTGTGGAACGGGAGATTTAAACAACGCGGACCGGCATACCTTGGGGATATCGATGGAAACAAATGTATTGAACGAAATCTATGGGCCTGGTATCCAGAAATTGGAGATATATCATCCAATTCATGTACTAATCGGAATGATAGTGATTAACGGTACCCTATTTCTCAGACAAAATCAGGCTGCTGCTGGTTGTAGTGGTTGTGGTTGTAGTGGTGTGGGACACCCGCCATTGAGAACTTTCTGCTGCTTCTCGTCCACAGCTGTTCAGCGATGTTGAACCAGGAACCAGGTACTGTATTCATATCAACAGCTTTGGCCCCCTTAAGCTTATCTCCACCCTGCAAAAAAGGCGTTTGGAAGATGCTTTTCCTCATGGCCAATATGGCCATTTGGATCCACATTTGGATCCACATTTGGATCCACATTTGGATCCACATTTGGATCCATGTTAGATACCTGATATCTGCAGGGCATAAGATTTTCTCACCATCCCAGCGCCGATCCCGCCATCCTGCGATGGCCCAGGCATGCGACGATCGCCTCCATCCGATTGAAAGCGCAAGCATTAAGTGCCAAGGTGCAGGAGGACCGATGGAAACGTTTCTGGCATGGGGATAGGTGTATTTTCATGGTGAAGTCTTGGAAGATAAGGGTATAACTCACCAACAATGATATTAATATTATATATATTATATATATATATGTATATATAAGTATATATATATAATATATTATATAAAACCAATTGTCATATTTGATTGGGTGTTATTGGGTTATGATGTACCTCGTGTTCTCAATGGGATTTCTTGTAGAAGCGATGCTGCCAGAGGATGAGCAGATCGTCGAACTGATGGCCAAAGAGCTTTCGGTGGGGCCCAACCTTGGGATGGGAAATTACTCTCTGGGGTCAAAATTGATTGGCACCCCAATTTCGGGAGTTTGATGCTCAGGATCGATTTTGTGGGTCTCTGGGCTGAGCCTTAGACTTTCATTGCCATGTTTCAAGAGCTGAGTCTTGGTTCCGACTCCCAAGGTGTTAACGAGTTTGTATTTGTCACGGATGTTACATCTCTGGTTAGATATTTTAAACTCAGGGAACATCTCAGGGAACATGATTTGAAGACCATTTAGATGTTTGTGTTCAACTATGTTCAACTATGTTCAGTTTCAAACATAGTGAGGGATAGTTAAATGAAACAATAAATTATATTAAAGCCATTGGTTGAATCATCACTAATCAATACTAAAAGCTGAAACATTCTTGGGTTCTCGTGCCCGGTTCAGGCGTTGGCTGCGAAGAGCGAGCTGCAAGATTTGTTGCTGCGGAAGGCGAGCATCACTCAGCCCCCAGTTGGTTCATGGTTATAATTTAATGGTTATTTAAAGGGAGTTCTAATGGGGAAAGACCCATTATATAATAACCTGTTGACCTTATGATCATTTAGGATATTTAGGGTTGTGGTGTAGCTGGCCGTCCCGATATATGAGATTCTTCACATATCATGTGGGGTAAGCTCTTCCATGCGGTATCACATTTACATATGGAGCTTTCCAATCCATGGGGGTACCTCTAAATCATTCATTTTAATTTCGGATTTTCCATGAAAAAAAACATCCAGCTATTGGGGTAACTCCATGACTACGGAAGCCTCCATATCATTTTATGACTTGCCCTATATATATGTTTTGGTTCTTCCGATCTAAGGCCTTGTCATCGGCAGAGCAAGCACGACAGCTGGTGCTGAATCGCGCCTTCGAAAAGCTCGGGAGACCCAGGGGTATTGACGATGGGGGATTTGAGCAGTAACAAAATGCCCAAATGTAACCAGCAACAAATGGAGATTTACCCTCTGGTTATTTAACATAGCCATGGGAAATGGCCCATTGATAGATGGTTTACCTATTAAACATGGTGATTTTCCATGGCTATGTTAAATAACCAGATGGTAATCAACAATGATGGGCTATTTTTTCGGAGATTCAAGCAACAATAATTAGACAAACTTTGACCAATACCCACACGCACTTGCGCCAACCCCCACCGGATTTCTGGAGGTGTTGACGGTTGACCCAACCTGACATTTCAACTGGAGTGGGTCACAATACTTTCGAACATGTGGCTATGGATCAATGCCAAGCAACTGCCAAAGTTGGCTTATATTCCTAGCATCCCATTCTAGCCCATTCTCCCATTCTGTTTTTCTGTTTGATCTTCGAGTTACCAGGCTTTTGATTCTTGGGGCATGGTTTTTTATACCTTTTTTACAATGGATGGTGTCAGATTCCTATTTTTTCTGGCCCACTCGACCCATGAACCGAGGTACGAAGCGTTGCGAATGGAGGTAGCAGCCAAGTTGAGGGTGCGGAAGCTGAGGATTTTGGTGGGAAAAACATATGAGGGGTGGATCGATTTGGGCCAGGTCATGTTTGGTCTGAAATGGGCATTTTTTTTGAGAATCTTTGTTTGGATCTAGTGAACAGCAGTTTTGAAGAGGTGGGGAGAATACCAGCAATCACTAGGCATCATGGAGGATAAAACCAACGCAGTTGCTCTTAATGTCCGAGCAGCGGAGCAGAAGCAGAAGTCTTTGGATGGCTAGCCATGGACTATCAGGCTATGTAAGTGATGTGGGAAACCCAATCATCCACAGCAATTTGGGCACCACCTGGGCCACTGGACTCGACAAAACGTCTAAGGTGTGCATTGAAGTCCAGGGCGGCAAGGTGCCGACTTGGGTGAAGATGGGATTCTAAGAAGTAATGCTTGGGGGAATTCATGGGGTGCCACATGATTTCGCATCTCATGATGTCTGAACAGATATTCGCAGCATTTCGCAACTCTTGCTCACGATGATTGCTGATATTTTGATTATTTTGCTGATGCTTTCAGCTTTTTTGTCTTCTGTAGATTTTATTTCCATTTCTGCCTCGGATGATGATCCAAGGTCAAAAACCATATCAGCTATGGGTCAAAAGTTGGGTACCCCAATCATTGGATGGTTCATACTAATGGATTCACATCTCTGGTCCCCCAGGGCCCCCAGGGAGCCCAAATTTTTACCACAAATCACCAGTTCAGCAAAACGCAGCCCGACGATCTCTACGACACCATCAAGACGGCTGGAAGCAAAGTCAGCAAGAAGACCATCAAAGTTTATCTCCAAACCAATCAGCAGGGAGACCTGAGGACACCGCAATAAGCACCAAGGAATGGAAGGAAAACGCGGCGGTTGCCTGGTCAAATTCAAGCCAAGAGCTGACATGATTTGTTGATATTTGATGATATTTGTTGATATTTGATGATATTTTTCATGATATTCCACGATATTTCATGATATGCAATGAAATCGATAGGACAATATTGATGTAATGAGAAAAACATCGCAACCGGCGAGTTCCGCCTCTCCTCGTTGACGCAACGCACTCAGGTCCCTCATCGACGATGAGCGGCTGGACGCGGTGTTTCCCGGTGCCCCAGTGGCGGACGAGGCGCTGTTCAGAAATCATGGGTTTTCCAGAACTTTGGATGTTGGAGGGTAAGATCCAGTCCTATAGTGGTGAAATAGTGGTGAACATAGATATTTTGGGTATTTTGTTTGGGTGAATTCCTGAAAAGAACGCAACCGCATTTTGGGATGCAGTTTGCTATCGTTATACCCATTTTTTTTGAACAACCATGTCCATCATCTATCTGCCGGATAGTAGGACTAGTTTGATGAGACCATTAATTGGACTATTGGTGGGACTAATTGGTCAATCTTTGTCAATGGAGCACTAGTAGTCCCATTATATTGATAGTAACTACACAGTGATTTTGATGCTTGAGTCATAGTAGCACCGTATAGTCATATGGTCCCATTATTTTCAGGAACCAGCATCAGCCCTGCGCTATCTTTGGACAACGTTCTTCATGAGGGACGATTCTCCCAAAAAGAACAGGGACATTTCCGTGGGTTCTGGTGGCGGGGTCAATTGCCCTTTGGGTGTCTTCCAGATTTTGGAGCAATTTCTGATGGTGGAATCATGTTAAATCCTCTGAAACCGCAGTTGAATTTCCAATTTTTCATGGTTGATAGTTGGGGTTGATAGTTAGGAAAATAGTATAGTATATCATAGTATATCATAAGTTGATGGTTGATATATACTATACTATTTTCCTGCATGGTTGATTTACTATTGATATACTATTGATATACTATACTGTTGATTTACTGTTGATGGTTGATAGTTGATTTTTGACCATTGATTAATCAGTAGAATTTATTGTTGATAGTTGATAGATTATAGTAATATATATATATACTATTGATTTATCTGATATACTGCATTGTATTGAAGTCCTAATTTATTCTGACCAGAAACTGGGGCGCAGGAGGAGACGGAGATCGGCAACTTGCCTCAGACCGTCATGACCGCCGAGTCAATATGAAAATGATGATAATGATGGTTATATCATGATAGTTACAGATAGTTTATGAATGTAAAAATGACGATCATCTTTTATGCTTGCCCATATCATGATCAGAAAATTCCTTTGATGCTTATTTTCAGTCGGATTATCATAGACGATCAATGATCAACCCAAGATGGTGAATGCTGATCAATAAGTCCTACAAATTCGTACATGGACATCTGAAGATTTTGTTGGACACCTTCGATGTTTTCTTGGCTATGTCCCCATGGATTATCCACATGTGTATGATTTATATCATTTGTATTCCAATTTCTATATCTGAATGATATCCCCAACATATCAGGAAAGCTCCTGGGTTGGAAGTTTACCTTAAAAAGACCGTTTATGCGTTGCTCGTTGCCGCGTTGCCCAGACCGGGAAGACTTCATGCGGGTGGTGCGGATCTACTACAAGGCCAGCTAGGGCCATGCCTGAGACCGCCTGGAGATTCGCATCCTGAAAAAGTGGGATGGTGATGTTTAAACCATTACTGCTTGGTGTTGTGGAACATGAATTTTATGACTTTCCATATCTTGGGAAGAATATCATCCCAACTGACGAATTCCATCATTTTTCAGAGGGGTAGGTCAACCACCAACCAGATGAAGTATCCCATGAAATCCATCACTTGACATCGAAAGCTTCGGCGTAGGTGGTGAAGGAGATCGTGCTGTCGGACAATCTGCTGATTGAGCAGAGCGACCAACTGCGCCGCATGGACGTCGGAGAGGTCATGGAGGTCTTCCAAGGCGAAGCCGCGGGACGAGTTGATCAAAGCTGATGAATTGAGGCTCATTAAACGATGGGATTGGGATGGACTAGGCCATTTCCTAGCGTCAATGTTGGGTTGTATCATGCAGCTGCCACTCAAGTGAACAGTTTGAAAGGTTACCCTCTGGTAAACGTTTACATAACTATGGAAAATCACCATTTTCAATCGGAAAATCCACTAGAAATCACCATGTTCAGTAGCTTTTTGTATGTTTACCAGAGGCTAAATGGTTGACGCTCAACTTTGACCGGGTCAACCATGGTCAACCCGAAGACAACACACATTTGTGACATGTGGAAATTATGATCATATACTGTACGCATAAGGTGATATTATGTAGATATGTACTGATGTACTTATACGATCTTACAAGGTAATATTCTGGATGTATGGATGTGTAGATGTATAACTCTGATATGTATAGACGCATGTATCGGTATATACAGTACACACACACATATATATATATTATGTATTGTATGGGATCACAGTTGCAAACCCAGTTTGAACTGGGGGCCCATCCAGGTCCCATGTTGGATCCCTCAGTGGGCGTCTATCGAATCCACGGCAAAGCCATCCGCGATGGCATCGTGGGTTGGGCCACAGTGGCTGGAAACCAAGGGACCGCAGGGAAATCCGTTGCCAAAGTGGTGACATCAATCCAACATTTGGGTTTCA